CTCTTTCCTTCTTCATCTCTTCCCTCACCTTCTATCGCCCTTCCAGATCCACACGGTGGGAATTATTCTATCGCTCCTTCCGTTGACGAATTATCAGCTTTACTTGAGTCTTGCGCAATCCTCTCACCCGAGCCTTCTTCGGGAGGGCGTTCTTCTACTTCTTATCCTATCGATTCACCTGTATCTCCTTCAGAATGGCGGCGCCAGACCCTGGAGATCCAAAGACTTCGACTCCAGCTCGAGATCAACGACTTGGACCAGAAACAACAGATAATAAGGCTGACCCAGTCACTGGCAATACTTCAACAAGTCCTTTTGCAGGTCCTTCCTTTCACCAACCTCAGCAAGAGAGGATCCCCTTGATCCCAAACTCAGACCAGAGTTCTGAAGCAAATGCAGAAGCCAAAGTCCCTGAAGCTATGGCTTCTGAGGGCACCGCCTCTTGCGCAAATGAGATGCTCAGCGAGTATTCTTCGAGAGAAAAGGCAATACAAGGAAGGCTGTCCAGACCCTGCTGAATCATGTTAAAAGGTCTCTTCTCTAGAGCTTATGACTATAGACTCCAGGGATCTGGGATAGCTGGAGCACCTTTCTTCACGGGAAACAACATTATATACTTCATCAAAAGCTACGAAGTTGCCGCAGAAGCAGCGAGCATCACTGATGCTTCTAATGTGCCGAGCATCGTTTTCTAAATGGATATATATACCTTCCCAGGCTAATAATCGATCTTAACTTTCCAGCAGACCCTGGCCATAAGCAAATGAATAATTAATTCGGCGCTGTGGGGGCTATGGACAAAAATTGCCAGGACGTGACCTTGATATCATAAGGACCCGCCCCTTCCCCCCCTCCCCCCCCCCCCTCAATCGGTCTGCCTTAGATGGAACAGCCCTGCTTATGGGGACCAGCGTATTCGCGAGTTATTCAAGAAAGGGGACTTTACCGACTGCAAGGTCGACTTGATCGATTAGCCCGGCTTAGAGGCCCGTTGGAGACAAACCCTCCGTGTTGTTGCCCACCGCCCATACCTCATTTTCCGCGCTCCCAGAAGCCCCAAGAGAGGAAGCTGCCCCCCCCTTCTAGAAGCCATGGGAAGCAAAGCCACGGCTTGAGGAGCACCACGTATCTGCTATGTAGCGCGTAATCATGGACGACGTCGTTCCATGCTTCCGAGATGGGTCTGGCCGAGATTGCGCGGCGGCGGCGGCGCCTGCACAGGGCGGGGAGGGGCAGGACGGGGCGGGGAGACCGGTCGCGGCACTGACAACGTCAACCATGCTCAACGCCCAGCGCAAAAGAGGGAAGGAAAAAAAAAAAAAAAAAAGAGAGAATTAAAAAAAAAAAAAAAAAAAAAGGAAAAGATAAAAGCTAACAACCCCATCCACCACCCAGACTCAAACCTGAATCTTCTCCGTAGCTAGAGGAGCGCTCTACCTTCAAGCCATGAGGCCTCTCGACTGGTGTTAGGAATAAGAGTAGTAACGTCGCCGACAAAGCCCAGCGGCGGATAGCGACGTGATCGTCACCCTCGTCTACCACAACCCCTAGGCGTAACGCAACGCCATTTCCACATGTATATTTAACACAAGTATATAGCTAGTAACTATGGCTGCCAGATCTCTGTAGTGCACATCCTATCAAATATATATAGAGAAGGAAATACAAAAAGAGGGCTCACTATAACTCTCTTATAGGCTAGCAGCAAAATGCGTCTGATATCCAAGCCCAGCTGATAACAGTCTGGCACAAGCTGGCATTCGTCACAGTCGCCCCCACGCTGCTAAGGAGACGTTATAAGGTTTCATGCTAAACAAGAATAAACACTCAGCGCCGCCCCTCGTCGTTTCTGGCTTGACATTCGTCAGAACAATCAGCAGCAGCGAGGGCACTCTGAAGCCAGCAGCAGCAGCTATAGAGATAGTAGCCGTTATACCTTCACACCTTCCCACCTTCCACCACCAACAACTTAGAAGGACACCAGCAGTCGAAGGTGCCGGTGATTTAACCTCTCAGCAGGCACTCTTATCTCCTTGATGTTCCAAACGGTGATGATGGATGTACTAGGACTGAGTATTAACATCCCAGACGTGCAGATCGTGACCCACGCTGACATACCAATGGGACTCTGCCGATTCGTGCAGAAGAGCGGGCGGGCGGGGTGCGACAGGCAGCCGAGCGCATCAGCTGTCATATACCGCGGCGGTAACAGCAGCAGTTCGCAACAGGAGGCAGCAGCAGAAGAGTATATCGCTAGCAAGGACTGCAGACGGGTTGTTCTCGATTAAGTGATGGATGGGAGAAGTAGCTGTTCTAGCTGCGAGGATAACGAGGAAGCATGCAACGTTTGCTGCAGGGGCAGAAAAGGGTTAAGGTCAGGGTTCATTCTAAACTGCAGTAGCAAGAACAGCACCATAAGCATACTCAAATAAAAGAATGTTGTATAAGCTGTGAGACGCTCAGCATAGATATCCATGGATATAGATGATGCATCATATCTTATTATCCACGATGGTCTTCTTGTTAATAGTCTAGTGACATGTAACAACATTAGGTACTAAGGCTTACAGCAGCTGTGATTATATACTGAAATAGTTCTAGAATCCGTAAACTTCTCGAAGTCCCCCGGATAAGGCGAAGACTTGGGTGACAGGGTGGGATGGTGCTGGGATTAAGAGAAGTTCTGATTACTTACGCTTGCACATACAACCATACCTACTGGAGAACTCGGGGATCCCGTCCGCTCTCCCATAGACAAGCTAGTGAGGGCTGGAGTAGTAGTTCGGTCGGTGACGACCGGCGAATACCCGTTGTTGTATGTTTCGCCCCTCTTTGGTGCTCCTTTTTTGTGCCTTTGAACTGCAGCAGGTGGCAGTGTCTCTGTGTTTGGAGCTGCGAGGGTCAGTTAGCTGGTGTATTTATCATGGGTTCTTGGCAGGAAGAAAAAGGAAAGAGGAAGAAAAAAGGGAGAAACGACCTAGTCTCATCTCGCACAGCAAACCCCTTATCATCACACATCTACTACAAAGCACACACCAGGGCTGTCGCCCCCCCCCCCCCCACCCCCCTCCCACTTACAGCCCAAACCTAGAAAGAGAGCGTACTGCGAGATTTCAATATAAAGAAGTGTATATTTTCCTTAGGGACGATAGTTAATGACACCAAGCTGAAAGTAGGCTTTAATCCTTGTAAATCTAACTGAAAGTTAACAATCTGTAGCAAGTTCACTCACAGCTTCACATCGTACTAAACAAAAGCAGTCATAATGTGAAGCCACAAGATAAACAGTCCAACCCTCAGGTTTTTAAAAGCATCCCTCTTGCTTCCTGTTCAAAGGGCGCCCATCTTATAGCCAACCCCAGCACTAATCTTCTGCACCCATCAACCTGTCTACAACTACAGTATGAGCAAACCCCCTCTACCTAGTCTTCGGTTTCACAATCTGATGCTAATATGGAAAGGACAATGTTTCACACGAATCAAGGGGCAGTATCGCACAACTCACTAGCACTAGCCACCTTCAGCAGCCGTTGGTTTACAGTCACTTGATGAACGATTCATACCACACGTCACAGGCAGTATATCTTACTACAATAGTTTTCGGATATTAACCACTGTGCTTAAGTGTAACCTTACCTATCCTTATCTAACCACACTAAGTTACTAGCTCTATGTAGACCACGTCCAGAGCTGGTTCAACATCTCACTTCCTCTACCATGTAAAATGACCCTTTGTCGCTTTATCGCCCACTACTCACTTTATTACCAAAGCTCCACCCTCAACAGTCTCCTTCTTATTATGAGCTATTTGCCTTGATAACTAGCCTAGATGCTGTGCATCCTCTTATTTTCTAGACTGCTCTTACTAGCCTCTTAGACGAGGGCGCTGTGAATAAGCAAGGGCCAATGAGCCTGCGCGGCCTGTGCCCACCCAGAGCCGTCTTAACTTGGAAGTAATAAGGGAGATAAAGCAAGTTTATGCCTTGTAATGGGACGGAATAGTAACATATAACAACGTTTAAACACTATCAGCAGCTATACGTCGCACCCAAAAGGGTTTTCAGATCAAGTATACGCTCATAACGAAGCGTTGTTTGTTCCTAAAGCGCAATTCCGTTCGATGTTTAGTACTTCTCGGACCTCTACCTAGATAGCTACTAAGCCAGTGAGGAGGAGCACGTTTCAACCTCACTAGTATTTTCACCTGTCATAGGCTAGAGCCAGGATTGAGATCTCTGGCTTCGCCGGAGCAGTTACCGAGATCCGGCCCTGTTGGATCTACTACTCTGCCGCGTCACACCTCCTAATTAGCGAGTTGCGTTGCTTACCCCATCCTCTAAGCATCAGCTAAGCCAAATGCTTTTGTTTGGGGCGGAAAGGCCGCGCATCCTGTTCCCATCGGGGTCCATGTGCTTGTGGGCGAGCCCGAGGAGGCAGCAGCGATGATAACTAAATCCAATGATGACGAGGACGCAGGAGACGATAAGCGGTATGGTATATACCTAGATAGCCTACTCTTATCCAGGTAAAGCCGTCAACCTATCAAATACAGATACTCTTTCGCCAATTATCTCGGGCGGTATGACCGTGCATGAAGTAGGATTTCGGTTTCGGTAACGCCGAGCATATCCACATTGTAAGTACCTTTTTAAAAATCGCTATAACGTAACCAAGGAGGGCAATTAGTAATTAACTGGCGTCAAGTAAAGGGGCAGGACAAGACTAATTAGAAAAGATGAATATTAATACCACCCAACACCAGGCAGTCAGTCAGGCTGGAGCGTGGCAGAGTACACATCTTTTACCTCATTACAACGCACCAGGTGTACATCATGGCATATACACACTTTCTTTGTATTCCGCTTGTCACGGAACTCTCTCGCCCCCAGCTATCCGCAAGTCTAAACACATTCACGACAGACATTGCCCGAACGAACGGTTTTGGCATACCGGAATTCGTAGTGCGCCCTCTCGGTACTATTCACCTTACTCTGGGGGTAATGAACCTTGCGGGATCAAAAGACATTGCGAAAGCTGTTGAGGTTCTCCAGAGTATAAAGCCTTTAATCCCTACCACGCCACTGAAGGTTTCGCTGCATGGCCTGGGGACTTTTCCGGCTGCCGACCCAAGACACGTCGATATCCTCTTTGCGCAACCCCGATGTCATGATTACGATTTCAACGCTCTTTGCCACAAGATTAGGCACGTTTTCGAGAGGACCAATATCGTCGACAAGACGGGTCCCCCCTTATCGCTCCACGCCACCATCGTCAATGCTAGAAAGACCCGGAATGGGGTCATTGACGCCAGAAAGATCATCAAGAAATATCGCGACTACACATGGATGCGAAGCATTCCCCTGAAGAAGATTGGAATCTGCCGCATGGGTGCTGAGAAGAAGGGCCGTGATAAGGAATACCGAATGCTGGCTTCAATTGATATTTGAGGGGCCAAAAACGGGGTTGGGGGAAGAGGGACAGAAAAAACAAAAGAAAAAAAAAGGAAAAAAAGAAAAAAAACAGAAGGCAAAAAGAAAAGTGTGAGAAATAGGAAAGAGAATACGAATAAAAGGGCCTGTGGAACGCAAATCAATTTGTAAGTTAACTTTTTTTTCCCCTGAGGAAAATACGCATCTTCACCTAAGATATCAGGGCATTAGAGCCACTAAGGCGGCGGACTGGCCAGCGCACTAGTGTCGTCTCAGCTACGTGAGATCCCTCATTTGTCTATCGGGGATCCCATAGCTATTACTGTACGAAGTAGATGACTCCACTCGCGAACGCGCTGATGCCGGTTAGCTCGGAGATTGCCGACATCGACCGCAATTTCCCTGCTGACTTGCCATTCACCCACCTACTGCTGAGATAATACTACGTATTCAGGATGCAGATGAGGTGTTCGTAGTAGTCTTCATGATTGTCCTTGGTTGCGATATCAGGGAAAGTATTGTTGATGAACTGTTCAAGCTTATCTTTGTTTTCTTTTGCTGTCTGGACAGGGCAATGCTTTGCTCCTGTTTGGTCGTTGGTTGTTCTTGTGATCAGCATTCTGGTCAATGTGGGTTTGGACATGATGAGTTGATCTTGTCAGGGATGGTTGATGGGTAGAGGAAGAACAGACCCATGTTCTTCCTCCTATATAATCTCATACAGTGAGTCATCTGCAGGCCATTGAGGTTATTGACAATATTCTTGCGAACCTGGATCGAAGCTTTCCTGGTTATCATAAACAGCATCACGATGCATAGTAGGCATCTATCAAAGTATAAACAGAATTTTCATAGTGTGGCATAAACCTCCACAAATTGGATGTGGCTGGGCTCAAAGGGTAGAAGATGATCAGTCACCTCCCACGAGCCGAGTTCGGCGAGGCCGCCTTCCAATATCCCAAAATAAACAGATCATAATATACATTTCTAATTGGGTACACTCTTCGCTCAAGAAGACTCAGAAGGGCGGGGGACAAGGTACCTTGTATCAAGGTATGGATCCACCAGCCAGGGCGCTGATCAGTGTCATGACTCTGTGCGGAATAGAGGACAACAGTAATAAACAGGTCACTATTTAAACGTCTTGCTTTCAGACCTCTTGTCTCATAGGCTTGAGCGAATTATCACATTGATCTGACTGATATAACGGTTATTACAGTGACCTTTAACCTCGTTCATCCCCACAAGCTCAGAAATACTTCGACAGTCCTAAACATCAGCTGCTGACTTGCTTACTACTGCAAGGTTCTGACGCATGTATAGCTTAAAGACCCACTTAATCCTATGTTTCCTCAATGCTTTTGCGCACTTCTCCTCGCGGTCGCCTCGCTGACCTCCGCCGCAGTCATACGTCCTTTTGCTGTAAGTTCACATATTAGCCTGACCTTGCGATGGGTCGCTAATAAAGACATAAATAGGGAAATTCTGCCTACTGGGCTGATGTCACAAAGTCACATGGCGGCAAGGTTTGGGAATTTTCTGTCCACTCCCACGGCTTCAGGAAATTCGATAAGGATGGTGATCGGATGGTTCTCAACTACCTCGAGATCGATACCACAAATAAGCGCCTGACCGTGTTCAACGCCCAGAATGCATTCGATCTCACTAAGCCGCGTCTGAAGATGCGCGAGATTCTGAGGGAGTGCTGGACTATGACAGGTCTCGAAACCAACACGGCGAAGGAAATCAAGGGCTCAATGGTTCAGAACGACAACATGAAAAAGGCTCTTGCGGATTGCCGCAAGACCATGAAGTTGGGCGCTGTGGCCCCTTTCGCCGTATCAGCTGCGGATACAAACGTCGCCCAGAAGGCTTGCTGGACCAGGATCGGAAAGACCATCTTTGTTGCCTCTATCAAGGGCGCCATTGCGAATTTCGGCATCAATAAAAGGCTTCTCAAAGTAGAAGTAGAGCACTCATGGCAAGGTGATAATATTCTCTTCATTTTGTCTGTCTGAATAGTGATCGCGCCTGATATATAGAAAGCGTATGAGAGAGGGTAGAAGTTAGAGTTCCTGTGTTGTTCTAATGAGGAGTTGTGAAGTAACCGATTAATCTTCTCACTCTCATCCGCTTCATCCGCTGCTACTGTTACGATCCCACCCATCATTAAGGCATTAAACGAAGCGCTTTCCGACACATGCCTGGGAATCTCGTGGCAGAAGCCTGCCTCACCAAGGTCTGACTGATGTCATCCATGGCCAGGACCAGCAAACAGGCTCGCACCCATGTTCCTGAATCTATGGAAATCATAAAGACTGGGTATAGGAACAGTAATCTGAATGTCCTTTGAAACCTTTCAATTTGATGTCTTCATAAAAAACTAGTCACTGCTAAAAAAAAACAAAGTCAAATACGCTTGTGGTAGCCTCAATCTAGGCATAGGTGCTTCAGCTTATTATAATGCAGCCGTAGAGGTTAATTGAAACACCTTTATCAATAGATGTATGACATGGGGTGAAGGCTCACAGGGATCAACTGCAGTTAGGGGTCAAAAGTTGGATTACCGAAATCTGCCCCCTCCTAAGAGATATGTGACCTGCTATCTACATATACATAACCTCACATCGCCTTTGCTGCTCCGTCCCTTTTACCTAACCTGTCCTGGCAGTCCTCATACGGCGCGCCCGTATCTTATAGGTCAGCAGTGCGCGCGTCGGGCGCCGGCACTGCGTTGCTTATCTCTTCCCGTGAAGCCGGGTAGGCAGGGCACACATGAGCAGCCTACCTTAGGTACACCTGCACAGAAGAAGCCATATGGCTCAGAGCGCTTAGAGCGGTTAGTTGGTGAAATAAGCAAAGCCAGCACGCTTACATCTACCGTGAATTATACTAAAAACCTCAGGATAGCTATATCGCTCTACAGTGAAAATCAGAAAGCTCTTGCGCTCTCGCCTTTAGCAAAAAAAGAAAAAGAAAAGAAAAAGAAAAGCAAAACCCCCCAGTTTTACTCCAGAACAAAGCACGGCGACATATTCAATACCATTCTCCTTCGCAAAGAGGGTCAGACGGACATTATCAGCCCCCACCCCGCTATACACCAACAAGCAACCAGCAGACTGCTGATAGGTTAACGAGACCATTGGGAAGAGTTGCTTTTGAGAAGCTCATAACGGCTCTGGGCCTTGAGTTGAGGCCTGCTGCGGGCCCACCACAGAGCAGGTTTTGGCTAATCACAGCACCAGCCTCGCGGTTTGTGCAGCTAAGTGGGCAGAAAGTCATACATATAACAACTTATTCAACATGCGAAATCTCAGCGAGTACCAATGCAGCACGATTATCAATTACATCATTCGAAACCCTTTTTCGCGCTCTATACGTCTAAGCTTATGCAGAATTATATTAGCCGGCGTCGGAGCGAGAGATAAATGTCTTCAAAGGCAGACTCATCCCCAGACACCTCTGCCCTGTTTGAACTGCCAGAAGACCCCCAAACTACGTTCGACCGCATATCTGCTACTCCTCACACAAGGCCTTCAACGCTCAGAAGTACCTCACATACACCCACGAGTCGTTGCCTACGACAATGCTTCAGTGAGAAATCCGCGCATTCTATACCTCGCCGACGCTACTCCTTCTGACGTTATGGGTAACTTTCTCAGAGCCTCAAGAGGCGGCAAAGCAACCTGGCTAGGCTTCTTCAGTGGCCAATCTCGAACACGAATCGGCGGGGGAGATAGATGAACAAAGAACCGGTAGCATTGCCTTGCTGCCCTGGTGGTCTCCGACAAGAAGAAGGGATAGCACCTAGTTGTCCACAAGAATGGTGCTGGGGCTGGCGTTGCAGTGGGCAGTCGAGAGTCGGCAATAAATCTCTTAAGAGAATGATCGCCATGGAGAATCTTTTAGATACCTTTTATGCTGTATGTGCCTATCGTGGGCCCGCGGGCCCAGAAGGGGGACGGGGGATCAGAGGGAGACAGTTTATCATCTTCATCACCACTCTGATACACGCTTCAATTGATCCTATAAGCGTTCCTCCTGAGCTAAATACGTGTGGAATGCGCGTCTCCTCTCGTTAATGTCTGTTCTCCTAGGTGGGCGTCTGTGGTTTTTGCCTTGCCACCTGTCGCGTGGGATGCAGATGTTCTCGGGTTTCGTGTCCTAGCCAGCACTATCGCCCATATGAGCTGATGAGCTCCCTTTGTTCCTGCAAGGTGTCCTTATTCAAGAGTCACAGGTTTGCATCGTCATCGTCATCCAGATTTACCTATCCCCTCCCGATCGTCGATATTATCCCTACCTTTAAAGCTCTGAATCGCCTCAGTCACCATGATATCGACGCTTACAACCTCACGATGCTAGACTCATACTGTCTGCCAAATTCTTATGCCGACTCCCTTCCTATCTTAATTTTGACAGCACTAATAACGTATGGCCTGCCGACCCTTAGCAACCCCCGGCCTCCTTTACTAGGGGAGACTACAGGCATTGTACGTAGTGAACAGATATATCCTAGCCTTATACTTCTCCAGCGTAGGAAACAAGAGTATTTGAGCTCGTCGTTATCGTTGGCGTCGGTGATCGTCGCCACTTAGCTTTGTTAGGGGTAGCTGACGTCAACTACGTCTAAACATCCTTCCCCTAGCTGGCACGTCTGTATCAGTCTAAGGTAGTTCGTCGTGTTCTTTTAGGTAGCCATCTTACGCCCAGAGCTGCCTTCGTTAAGGCAGGCAAGACTATTACAACCAGTAATTACAGATGCTGCTTTTAAAGTCCTTTCCCCGCTGTTAACGATGTTTCCTCTCATGCGGCTTGAAATCAATCTACCTCTGATTTATGTGCTATGTCGAACCTGGATACGGGCTGAGGGGAACCCAGGTGTTTTGATTCGTACGGTGTAGACCCAGAACGAACAAAAGCTCATCGGTGTATCACTCGGCTCGGACACTGCGCACAGGGAAGGGTTACTCAGACCTAGCGATTATCCTCTCAGCGAGCGGTTCCTAGTCACATAAGTCCTATTCGCTATGAACATTCGGTAGAGGGCTTTTCTATTATACAAAGTAACTGAGCTCTTGGGATGCCTCCGTGGGTTCGTGCTAACCGTGAAGCACTCCTGTCTCTATATATTCGTGGTAGCGCATGTCCATCTATCGCAAAAGAAACCCAAACAAAGGAGAGGAAGAGGACGAAAAAGAGAAGGAAGAAGGGGGGGGGGGAGGAAAAAAAAAAAAAAAAAAAGAAAAGAGGAAACGGCCGAGATTATGCTTAAGCGAGGGCCTCTCAGATCTTAGACACTAGGAAGTCGAAGTACCTCAGGCAGTTGTGGTTTGCGTCTATCTTTTTCCCGGCAGCTGCCACCCACTCTTTACCTAAAACACACCACGTAATTAAGCATCTATCGCGCGGGGAGACACTAGGGAGGACTAACCATAATTCCACAAGTCTTTAATGTTAACTGAAGCCTTCTGCCCCTTGTAGGTTATACTAGAGATGTCTGCGTTAGCATAAGACCAATCATGCGCCGGGCAAGGACTAACCGTTGATCTATAACAGGGCCGTCCCATTTGTGGCGGGTCTGGCTCCATTCGCCCGGTTTGCTATCCAGAACTCTCACGTGGAAATATTCGGCCTCGAACTTCTTCTGAAATCTAGCCGTTTTCCCAATCACTAAGCCGACATGGACGCAGTCGGTCCGGTCCACCACGTACTTCAGGTAAGGCTCCCGTGTTTGGCGATGATTACGATACGCCGGGTTACAGGACATGAAGTAGTAATACTTGTTGTTCTGAAGCGGGCGTCCCACAACCTTCTCGGCCTCTCGCCAGGCCTTACTCTGGTCTCGTGAGAATATCCCACTTGCAGTGAAATGATCCTCGTGCGTCGCAGCTGTGCTGTCGTCTTGAGGCACCGAGATGTCAGTTCCGTTCAGTACGTTCGAGATGGCCAGACCGTAGACCGTGGCGCAAAACGCCAGAACGCTCGTGAGCCTCATCGTGCCGAGGGAGTGGCTTAATCGGAGAATCAAAGAGTCAAAGGCTTCTACTGCAACCGTGCTAGAAAAAAGTCAAGTTCAACTAAGGAGGGCGAGAAGGACAGATGATATAGACATCTTGACAGGAGATTCTAACTAGACGAGGGACTGATAGTCCTATTTGTAAAGCCCAGCTGATCTTATATAAGGCTGTTCTTAAACCACTATCTGCACACCTAAGCCAACAGCCAGAGGTTACGTGGCGTTTCCCCTTAACCCTGGTACTAGAGGGAGGGTCCAGGTGTGGATGTTATACATAGCGTTGTTGTGATCTCTCCGATTCTGTCCAAACCATCAACCCCTTCATTCACAGCCCTTCCCTGTGTGTGGGACTAGCGCCAAGCTACCCTGCCCTTGTCAGCCCTGTAGTCAACGCACAAGCCCCCACTATTCTACATATAGGACCATTTTACTGTGGAGGTGGATCCTAGGTGTAGCCGCTCATCTCCGTGACTTCGTCCAGCGTCTTAGGAAATTTTACCTCCAAGGTTTGAGATAATTAGACGTGGAACGACGCTCGCAATCAGTGTAGGAGTTTGCCTTTACACAGCAAACGTCCCCAGCTACGTAAGGATTGCACACCCCCCCTTCACCTCCTTGAACGGCCTCTCCGGGCTATTCTTGTTCTCTTGACTAGCACCGTCCAGCAGAAAATGATCCATAGATGCCAATTCCAATGCGGGCAGAGATAAGCATGGACCGTAATTGAGAACCTGGCATAAAGCCAGCATGTTGTATTCTCCCGAGGAACAAAAGAAGAGGACAAAGAAAAAACACCTTCACAAACCTCTTATTCCCTAGATTGCACCTAGCAAGCATGCCCTCAGCCCAGAATACATGAACCATAACCAGACGGTGTTTCCTTGCATGCCTCCTAAAACTTTCACTTGTTTAACCGTTATTCGGCCCTACTACGACTGTTAAAACCACCAACCCTCTTGATTATAGAAAGACGGATAGATATGTCTTATCCCCAGCCTAACATCCCATCGGTACTACCGCGGTACGAACGAGGCGGGATACCACCAGGTTTGCAGCTTACGGGGTCCCCGACAGCTCAGCGATTGAGGCCCGATATCAGCCCCTCTTTGCGGTGGACGAAGCAGCGGCTACCGCAATTCAAGTAAATCAGTCAAGTTCAACAAGCCAACCAATCACAAAACCATCCCCAGTCAATGAGTTCAATTATAGGGCCCCAAACTTGATTGATCGAATTGAGGTGGGCGCTGGGAGGAAGAACGAACCCCCTATCACCTACTACTAACAAATGAAAGGATATACAAACCAGTGACCCAGAATCACTCAGGCGCAATCCTGTCATTACTATCACTAATCCAAGCTTACCTTGTCATAATAACAACAAAAACAATAAGAATGAGGTTATTGCATCCTCTCAACCGTTGCGAGGGCTATAGCCTCGTGCTCCCCGAGCCTAATAATGCCGTGTCTGTCCGCAAGCCAGGTGACGTGGTAACATCTAGGGCCGACGTATACGCCGAAGCCGGAATACTGTCCGGTCCAGCAGCTCGAGCGTAGCTTGGATAGAGGTTGAAAAGGTGTCGTCGGAACCCTCCGACATGATACATATAACATGCGTTTAGATGGGACTGCCATGACTCCTATAGCAGATAACACAGAGCTTTATACGTTCCTGGCCTTGTCTTTCTCTGTCTCTAAGCCTCTTATATTGGTATCTCATAATGACTAACTATTCCTAAGCGGAAGCTTGTTATTGAGTCAAACATATCAGGGCGAAAGAAAGGGAAAAGAAGAGAATCAAACCCAAATCTTCTACTAGAACATGCTGGATCAACACACCTCTTACCCTGGCTAATGATAGTATTGACATGATGCATGTTGTGAAGCAAAATCATGCCTACGAATGAGGAGTACTTCCCCTTTCGGCAGTTGGAAAGCATCTCTGAAGTGCTGGGCTTTTTGAAGAAAGAATGGAAGTCGATGAGGGTGTTAGTTCCGAAGAATTGGTCGCTAGTATGAGCAGTGCTAGCGACCACCTCGCCCCTGCAGGAAACAGCGCCCGCGGGAGGAAATCCGTACACTATTAGTCTCTGCAGGCTCAGGCTATCCTCTTCATAAGACTTCACAGTGCCTGAGGGTGCTTGGAGGCATCTTTCCATTACCTCGAAGCTGCTAGTATTTACTACGAAGAGCTGGATTCTGTTAGCGTTAGCATCTGGTCTCGCTGTGGTAAGCGCCCTATTTCTTCTTGAAAATAAGTTAAGTATAGGTCAATAATACTAAGGGGAGCAGTAGACATAATGAGAGAGACTATCCATAGCTAAACCACCTCGTATACTCATTCGATGCGGTACTAGAGTTATCCAAGGCCACTATGGCTTCACGTGCTAAGTCCTTAGTGTACTTGACTACTCTCTTCATCTCTTTAACTTATGATGGAGAGCATAGACAGACACTTGCTTTAATTATAGACACCCAAGATATTAATACTGACCTATCATGAGAATCAAGCCGGCCACGTACAGAGGAAGGTAAAGGGGGCAAAAGCATGTGAGAGGTTCAGTATTAAAACGAAGAACAAGTAAATTATGCACATACTAACCAACCCCACGTAGTTATAACGACTCTTCCGTTTTTCTTTTCTTTTCTTTTCTTTCTGTTGAGAGACGGGTGAGGGCTTGGTCAATTGGTTGGCTGGTTGGCTGGTGGCTCGGTTGGTTGCTTGCTTGGTTAGTAAGGTAGATTAGGAAACCGCGAAGGCAAATCAGCCAGGGGAGTGGGAGTGGAGGGGGAAAGAAGAAAGAAAGACCTATTATGCTTACAGCCTTTGATGCGATCAATAACTATTACGATCTCTTAATATACACGCTACGCTCTCGTGGAAGCAGTACGTCACTGCATTAGCAAGACCAACAAACTGGCTGGAGACTTGCAGCGCTGCTGATACCGAGCTAAACGTCTTAGCTTCAGAAGTCTCTATGATTCCGCTCAACAGGCTGGGCATCCAGAGAATTATGTATAAGATAGGACAGGATTTCAGCAGTATCATGCGCTTAATGCGCCGCTCTGACGTCTGGGTCTGCTTTTTGGTAGAAAGATTAGCCATCATTGCAGCCGTGACGTTTGACGATACACCGTCTTTTGCGACGGTGGTGTCTCTGCTGGGGTTCCATCTGTACTCCAGGAGGCGGGAAGCTCCCCACGGTCGAGGAATACATGACTGGCTTGTAGTCCCACCTCCGCTGTTATATTCCGCAGTATCTTCTCCGTTGGTGAAATCTGAGCAGTCCCTGACTGTCTGAAGAAGCGTTGCTGGAAGTGCCTGTGTAGCTTGTAGAGGACGTCGTTCACCTACTGCCCTAACGTATGTTTGTTGCTCCCTGGTGCCTAATCGACCATTGCCCGCCCCCCTCGGTCCGAATACCTGGCTCGTATCCGGACTGGTTTCGTTCTGCCGCGACGTCTCCGAGCGTACCGTCGTGTGCGGCTTCTTTTCCTTGTGGACTCTGGCCACGGAAGGAGCACGCGGAGGCAACGGCCCAGCTTGCTGCCCACTTTGATCATCAGCAGCACTGCCGCATCTGCTATCCGATTCTCCTAAATACCTGGTTAGAGCGTACTCTGAGGCGCGGGAAAGGGAACACTTCGTACGTTTTGCCTGGCTGTCTTGCAAGCACCTCATAGGCGTACCCCACATAAGCCTGGTTGGTGTGAAGTTTCTTCCTCGTGGCTCGAGTATGACCATTGTCGTCGGGCGTACTGTTAGTGATCCGGTATCGCACGAAAGCCAGGACGTACTAGCGGCGGGGCGAGGACGTTGGCTGAGATAAAACCAGACGAAAGTGTAGATGCAAATGGTAGTGGATATGATCCACAGACGCCAGACGTAGGTGAGGCCAAGTCGAAGGTTGGGCCGGTCCCGCGCAATCCAGCAGCAGTTCCCGCCAACTGGCTCTATCACACCGATCCTAGCAGCCAAGGCACTAGTAGTAATCGGAATAAGCCATACGCAGCAGCAGATTGAGAATCTCTTAACTGATGAGCTGTCCGCCATACTTGTTCTCTGCCATATCACCAGCAGCGTGGCTATAGCGATGGCGAGGATGGAGAAGTCGGATGCTTGCGCTGAGAGCTGACTAATCACGCCGTTCAAGACGCACGCTATTCCGCGTTGTAATTCCTGGTCCCTAACGTAGATGATCCCCGATATAGTGTTATTAGCTGAGTTAATGACTTCTTTGCGTTGATGGTTGTCTTGGTTAGTGTCTCATCCCGCTTAACATTGACGTTGATAGGAGAACACCTTACCAGCAACCATGAGGTTAAGGACGAGGGTGTGTCGTAGAGACCGGCGTCGAGTATGGTGAAGACCAATCAAGATTAAAGCGCTCCAGGTTGCTAGGAACGAAAGACTACTCCCTACGAGGGCTAAGGACGCCACCAGTGAATTGAAAGCCATTGTCAGCTGACGGGCCATACAGCTTCACCCCAGCACTAGCCAAGCTGCGCACGCAGGATCTCCTCTCTCTCTCTCTTCCATTCTTGTTTTCTTCCCCCTTTAGCCTATGCGGGGACACTCCCCGTTTTATCCTTTTCTTTCCCCTCCTTTCCCACACGACGTACGGATAGCAGCATCAAAGCTCAGGCGAGTCAAAGGCTATTAGTGAGATAATTAGGGTTGTGCGTGCGTTTGAGAAAGTTACCGGTGTGAATTCGAAACCCCCCCACCCCCCAACCAAGCAGTGATGACGCCTATACCGTAAACCTCCTGAGCCGATGCATGCTATTCCCTAACGCTTCGGCCTATGATGTCTCACTTGCCGACTATATCTCCACCTTCGACTCCCTCAAGCTGGACGGCCTAGCTGCCATATGTTCCATGATGTAAGTCTCGAACGAATACTACCACGGCACGATCGGGCTGTCCCCTTGGAAATATCGCTAGAAGAACATCGGGTATTCCATGCTAGCACGGAGCACGT